GTGTGAATTATATAGATATCCATCAGAAATATAACCATAAAAAATAGCATTCTTGAACAGTTACAACTGGTAACAGTCAAGTGCAGTATAACTTTATGATATATTTAGTCATTCATTCTTAACACAATAAAAATTTAATCGCTTATTAGACAATACCCAAAATGCTTTGTGGTGCAAGTGAAAATGGTGTCACTGTGAACCACCCCTTTACATTGAATGACGCGATATACGAAATTCTGACGCAGGTTAAAGTTTCCATCACATATAAACTGTACCTAAAACGTATTCGAAAGGCATCATCATTATACACAAAATGGTTAAACAAAATATCTTCTTAAGTTTAGTCGCATCTATTATGGAATAGTCTAAAGAGTGCAAATGGCCAACAGACAATATGGCCATCAGAATGCAGCATAGAAACCTTACACAATAGGACAATAGATGCATATTAATTGGATTATGTGTCCGTCACACATTGCTCGTTTCTTATCGTCTTATTCCCCCATCGTATCCGCTACTGTTTAGGAGTATCATCCGGACAACGCTTGCTGAATATACACCGCAACATGATAACCACGCCATTGGCAATTTAGACATGTGACGCAAAAATTCAGGTACACGTCTACGACTAGATTAAATTTTGGTTATGGTTGTGAAAATATTTGAGATTAGTTTCTCATGTTTTCTAAGCAATATCAGACTTGCGTTTTGCATTGTACAAATTTAATTGAGACTCATCAAACAGTGCAGTAATGTATTAATTGTCTGTAAAATGTTTTACTGTCTTCATTCCTCATTACTGAGATTGTTCAAAATCATAATAAAACATCAGCGCATCAACCAATTTTTCATGACCGCGTAGTCTTGCAGCTTTTGGGATCCGACCGATTTCCTTAAAACCCTTTCAATTGCACAAGACTACTTTAGAATACTCCACGGGGGCAATAAAAATTAACATTCACAATACCAGATATGTACACTACCAGATCTCTCCAAATCTTTATGGAACCAATGTTAGTCTCAAAGACAAGGTTAAACACGGAAGCTTTGTATCCCAAAGCCGGAGCAATCTTAACGAACGCACGTGCCATTGCTTTACCTACACCATCATTGCGATATTTCCTAGGAACCACAAATCCGGCATTACATATCTACAAAAAGCGAAAAAAAACAAAAGGTACGTATATATGGAGTAATTTTAACAGAGTAATGAAAACACAAAAGGTAAATTTCAACTATCCTCCATACGTGCGAACATCGTCCTGGATAATTGGGTTTCACGTAGAACATTCCCAGGACATGTTCGTCTCTCCACACGTCCTCATTACTAATGTCCTTTAACGCAACGAAAGCATCGTGACTCAAGAAAAGGTTTCTGAATTCATCGGCATTCAGTGGAAACTCCTGAGGATATGTGTTCCCATCTTCGATGATTTCGTTAAATATAGAGTTCAAGCGAGTTATTGGTGAAGAGGGAGTTACAGAAGTAATCAGAATGGGAAATCCTGATTTAAGGGTTGAGCGGATGGGCAATAGTGACGATAGAGTACTTGGAAGATTTTCGTTCATTGGGCGTTTGGAAAAAAGGTTAAAATGGTCGAGTCAAACCGCTTTTTTGCTCGCAATGAACGTTATCACATGATGGGAGATCGGTTTTCGTAATTACTATATGCGGAAAGAAGTAAGAAAGTGTATATTCAATATTAATATGTCAAACAGTTAAAGCCCGAATTCCCAACTCATGAACAGATTTTATTTTTTGTTGGCGAAATAACAAAATCTTTGGATCACCCAACTTTGGTATCAGAGTCATTATGTGAATATTACTATAGTAAAATCAACTGGCTTTTACAAACTATACCGACCGGGATCTTATATAATAGCGAATATTATATAAGCGAAAATTTAGTTCGATTATTTGAACGCTAGAAAGCAATATCATATTTGTGAAGATGTATCTCAGTTGGAAACCTGTCTCAGTTCTGGACCTCGACAACTGAGTTCTGGGGTGAGCGACTGAGTTCTGAACTCAGACACAACATACTAAACTGTTCTGAGGTGTGAAAAAGCTGTCAATATTCAACTGTTTTTTTTTTTGTTGTTTCGAAATTTAATTGAATTACGCGGTTTTTGTCTTTTCACTTATTGTATTTCCTGTACGGTAGGGGTTTGTCGCTTTCGATTGTTCATAAAATGAAATTTACAGAGCCCGTTCCATCATTGATTGAGTGAGGTTTTTAAATTCAAGTTAACAAAAACACTTTGATTATTTAATATGTCATTTCTCACGGATTAATAGTGATTTATTATAAATTTTCGGATAATCGAGATTAATGAATTGGGACCAGAAGTTTCTTCTGTAGAACGAGGGATTCAGAATAACGAGATTGACTGCGTACAATGCTCTTATGAACATACTGCCTCTATGGTGAAAGATTGTTAGCTTTTGTTGTTGAGGATAATATAATTGATGCTAACGCGAAGAATCACTATTATGAAAACCGCCTGCATTGCAGCTGTAAGGCATGTTCTATCCTTAATAAAAATGCTAAATTATTGTATACTGTAAATCGACGAAACTATAGTGCAGTTGCAATACCTTTTCTGTCAGATACAAGTTGTGTTGCGAAGTCTGATTCGAAAGTCATGTTGAGACGCAACTGTAACTCTTTCTTCTGGCAAAATCACTATCAGTCCCTCTCCTCGCAACTGGTAGTCAAAGTGCGTATACTTCATTTAAATTAATAGTATAAATCATATCGAGTTCAATAAAGACCACGAAAACTTAATTCACAGCTATAAATTGACCTTGTTATAAACTATGCTTGTCGAAAAGATATTTCTTGTAAAGATTACAAGGCTACTTACCTTATTATAAGACATAAAAGTAGTATTCGGTTGACTGTCAACAGCCTTTCTCTTTACACATAATACACGTCTGCTTTTGTCATTATCTTCCTTTTGCGTCACAGTCGAGGGGGGGGGCAGATCCGGGTCCTCACTTTCCTAATTTGGTACTTACTGTCTGATGTTGATAAAAAACGGTATCTATTTATTATTTACAGACTTTTCATTTACTACATATTTCCCGCTTTATTTTTGTGTGGAAGACAAAGTCTTTGCATAAAGATACTTACATTAAAAGCCACTTGCTCGATTAATACAAAAAAGTTAAGCTCTTGTCGTTTAGTAGTCTTCTACACCTACTTGTATTATAACAGACCACAAAATATTAACATGGCGCAAAGCTTTATCGACGCAAGGAACATGACGTCCACCGACGAGTAAGCACCCCAATTAAAGTTTATGTGTCTCTATAGCACATTGACGTCTTTGTAAAAAAAGCAGTTCGCTTTATTCTGTTTAGTTTTTGTAGGAAGAGTTTTTGAACATATCCGAATATCCATCTTATAAGAAAAGATAACACTCATTATTGATTACATTTGTTATAGTTACGATGAGTTGAATGAATCCCGTAATAAGAATATGGTATTGGTTAGAAGTACTTTTGAATTTATAATTCCGGGTCCATTCAATACAGCGAATAGAATGTTCTCTCCCCCATTTGCTACTTCAGAGAACATGTTTTGGCAATTAGAATTCTGTCCGGTGAGTTACACAAATTAGCCAAATCGTTTACTTTCCCATACAGAGCTAAGCGACATCTTTTGCTAGAAAAGTCTATCAACAAATTTTCGTTTCATGCCACCAAAAACTATCTGTAGAGTGGAACATCAAAGGACGCGCATTCAGCTTTTCTTTATTTAAGAGCCATTCCAAACGAAGAAGAACTCAAAGTACCACAGTGGCCAGCGCGAAATCAATTCTCTCCGAGGATTTACTTATCGCACCATAACGGACTCTTTAGCAGAGAAAAACAACTCAACAAAGAGTTTTCAGGAACTTCTCGGAAATGGGGTAAGACAGACATTGTGTTTAATTTACTATATTAATATATCTATCTCTGTTTACTTTGTACTTGTCAGAATTTTGTAATTTCTTCTTTACTAATATATACTCTTTCAATGTCTCACTTTCTTTCATCCATTGCTAGGTAAGCCAATATGTAAAACATCAAACTTGATCAATTACGACAGCATAAAGATAGGGGTCACGTTTGAAGGTGCAGCGTTTCGATATGAAAAGCAATCGATTCCGTTTCCTACTCGCGCTGTACCAGTTCAATTGATCAATGCATGGGAAAAGCAGCTTGACAGTCCGCATAATACTGATACACAGTTCAACGTTAATGGACATATAATATACGCGAGCAGCATCATACTGTCGAACCGTTCAGAATACTTTTGCAACATGTTTCAAGGTCATTGGGCAGAGTCTATAATGGCTAGGAGAAATGTTGAACAAAAAAAGGAATTGAATGGGAGTGTCAGAGAAGGCGGAGAAGTAAACATGGAAGAGGAGAGTTTTCCGGCGGAGAAACCGATGTATGTTATTAATGTAACAGATTGTCATCATGAAACTTTTCACGAAATGTTGAGATTCTTGTACGTATTTTGTGCTGTGCATGTTGTTTCTAATGATTCGGTTTAAACAAGTTCCGGTTTTTTGTTTTTCATTTGCGCTAACTTTTCGATCTTAACATTGCAGATACACGGATCGAGTGACAATAGACAATACCTCAGACTCTAAGCGTACGGCGTTTGACATATTCTACATAGCCGATAAATATCTTATCAAGGAATTGCGTCAAATAGCAAAGCTCGATATTGTTGGAAGGCTGTCCGTCGATTCAGTTACAAAGGTTTTGTTTGAGCATGTGTGGAAGTGGGAAGATTTGAAAAAAGACGTGATCGTTTACTTTGTCGAGAACTTTGATAAGATAAGGGACACTGATTCGTTCAAAAATACTGTTCTTTGTGGAGGGGAATATTCGCATTTTGGGCCGATTTGGTTAGAGATTTTTCCCTTATTGCGTCTTTCGAAAGACGCCTAAGCTGGGATGCATACGGAAACAGTGTTTATTTGTTTAAGATAATTGTGACCTCTAACGATTAATGTTTAATAACATAAAGTGATGAATGAATTCTTAAAGAATTCGATTAATATTAAAGCAACTTTTGATTTAATAAAGTGTCCGATTTGCTCATTCATGCTTATTCAATTTCCGCGTATGGTTGCAGAGTACTTTATTACGTCGTGTTTTAAGTAGTCTAATCCCAGTCGTGCTGTTTGCAAACTAGGATTGTCTCGGTATTCAAACTTGAAAAGAAGGACTGTTCGAAAATAGCGAATTTCTTATGCACTGGATGTAATTCGAACGCGGCATAATTATCATGTAAGACTAAAGACGGTCATATTTTTTTGCAGCGTTAACATTTGAACTACCAACTACTAATTTATATATATATGGGATAATTAATTAACAGTGGTTTTTGCGATGCAAGTAAACAGATATCCATGCTTCATCTAATAACGAGGACACTTAAGAAACAGCTGAGAAAATTTTGAATTTCACTTGCACAAAGACAATTAATATGTATTATATGTATTATTATTATGTGTCTGGTATTAGATAGGTATCGGGAAGCACACACGAGAAGAACCTCTGTAATCTGCACACACTACTAACAATGTTTACTGCGATGACAACTAATGTTATAATTCTAATGTAAGAATTAAGGTTAATCAACGATGATATAACAGATATTTTAAAACCTTGTTAATGGAGGGGAAACCCGCTTAAACGGCTTTCGCAGAAAATCAGCTTATACTTAGTAGTAACTATTTGGTAAGCCGTTTTTAATTCGTTTAGAATAATAGTGGGTTGTTTATTTTGATTTCGATTAACACGTAATATTTATTTTTGCCGTTTGGCAATTGATAGATAGTTACTCATAAATAGATCTATAATAGTAACCACTATGATTCATTAATATGGCCTTCTTAATGAAGGAACACAAACAAACATGTATTATTGTAAGTGTCACCCTCTATATTCTACACGTGCAAACAACACGATTGTTGTGTTTTCTATAAGTACATGCGTAACTACAAGGGTCGCTTTTACTAGTTGGACAAAAGTTTTTGTAACGTGCTGCACATGGCGCTTATTTTGAAGAAAATTAGTTGTTACTATTATCTATTTATAAATACATTCCTCATTGAAACAATTACAACGTGGATTTATTGAATATCTGAACAAGATTTGTAAAAAAGGGATTAAGTCAGCGATATTTTCCTTGCCCTTTTTGCCTCAGGGAGTGGTGAAAATATTTCTTTCGGTTAGGAAGGCTTGTAGTGAAAATTGAAATGTATAAAACCTATATTATACTTAAAAAATAATTTTTGCCCAAAAACTGTATTAAAATTAAATAAACTCTCCCCCTCCCTAACAGGTTTGACCTACAGTAATTAGTATTTTCCTTCTTCAATCACTTACCTTTAAAGCGCAAGTTTCGTGTTCCTGTTTTTAAATCCAAGAAATAGCTAACACCTTTATTAACTTTGTCGAGCCAATATACGTTGGTATACGGGCCTTGATCCTACTTCGAGATAAATCAATATGACGTTTAGCGACGTTTTAGCTGCGATTTATACTGATGGCTTTTAATAGCGGCCTGGATTATTATTTAACCTCGAGTATTACGTCGATTCTTCTAGCGGGATTAGATTAAAAACCTATCGGTCAAGAAACATAAACTAAACTACAGTCGTCCCCCTCTACAGTCACACTGTCGGTTCTCCTGAAACGTGTGACTGTAAGGAGGGTGTGACTATAGAGGAGGAATCCCAGGATATATGCAATTCATTGTGCTTATATAAAGCTTTCTCCTTAATAAGAAGTTCAGTAAGAATATGCCATGCCCTATCGTCTGCTCCGTCATAACCTTTTCTAGGAATATTACGCTGCCTGACAACACTCATCTTTTGAGTTTCGAGATTAAGATCAATGCATCCATCTTTCGTGGACGAGATCTTGCTTACTGCATTACTGTGGACCGATCTATATAATACTATACTTATTATTGAAATGTCAGTACTTGTGACCGTGTTATTATCGTTTGAGTAAATGCAAATTTCATGCCGTAAAGCATTAGTGATTTGAGTTTCTTGGTTGAGAGGCTATAAACATTTTAATTTTGTGTAAAGAATGCGCGTTCTCCAATCCTTTTATTTTTTTATTTTTTTATCATGTAATTTTTCTTCACGTGATGTGACTGTAGGTCCATATACATACAGAGGGTACTCAAAAGTTTACGGACACTTTCTTATTGCATGAATTGCTCAGTTTTTTATTATGATAACGATGTCTTTCACAATAATAAAAAATGTTTCTACTACTACTAATTTAAGATGTTTGTTATGTCAACTGTTGTCCAAATTGTCATGTGTAAACATAAATAAATAAACAAAACAATCTGTCGCGTCTATCTTTTTTTTTAAAGAGAATCATGGGTAAAGGAAAACAACTCACTGATTTCCAAAGAAACAGCATTATTTATGGTCATAAGATTGGGCATTCCAGCAGACAAATTGCTAAAATCGTGGGATGCAGTCCTTCAGCAGTTTCAGCTTGTATAAATCGATACAAAGTTACTGGATCAACTGAAGCAAAGCCACGTTCTGGACGACCATGTCTCTTACAATCCTCAGACCGTAAAAAGCTTAAACGATTAGTGACTAATAAAAATAATCGTCGGAAATGTGCTAGGGATATTCAGAATCTTTGGAAAAAGAAAAATGGACAAGAAATCTCTGTCTCAACCATTCGGCGTGCGCTTAACTCGGTAGGACTTAAAAATTGCGTTGCTCGTCGAAAACCATTCATTTCACCTGACAATATGAACAAACGGCTCCTGTGGGCAAGAGAGCATGCATGTTGGACGGCAGAAGATTGGGCAAAGGTGCTTTGGAGTGATGAATCAACGTGTACTCGGTTTCAGCAGGCTCGAAATAGCCGAGTATGGCGTGAGACGTCTGAGGAATGGTCACCTGACTGTGTCTCAGTGACTTGCGAAAGCATGCCACGACGAGTTCAAGCAGTCATAGATGCAAATGGTGGTCCAACAAAATATTAAACCACTAACAAAAGATTTAATCCAATAGTGTAGAAACATTTTTTATTATTGTGAAAGACATTGTTATT